AAAAAAAAAGCCCTTCCCTCCTGCTCTCTGCGGTGGGCGAAGTCACTTGGTGGGATCGTCAACAAATGCCCTGTGGTGTCTGCCTTTTCCTTCGCATGACCCAAAACGTCCTTATTGCTGAACCTTTTTTTTCCCTCCCCCTTGCCCCACAAAATGCCTCCTCGCTCCTTGCGCGTCACCCCTCCGCCCCTTGGCTGCGCAACCGCGCCAGGCGCGGTCTATCAGTTGGTTGAGGGAAACACAGGCCGAGCAGCGAGACATTCCACGGCCTTCCAGGCCTTTCGAAAAATGCAGGCCCTGGACGAGAATCGCAGGCTCATACATAGACGGTGGGAAGGCCCAACCGAATGAAGCCCAGTAGCTGCAACAGAGGCGCAGCATCCTGGGGCCTACCGGAAGCTTCTGGGCCCAGGCCCAGGCCAGCCAGGCTGCGAAGGCAGGCAGGCTCTTTCCATATAGGAAAGAGCTCGCTGCCTGGAGCCTCATTCAGCACTTGCATGTTGGCGGCAGCACTGCTGGAGCGGACGCTCGTGGGCTGCTGCGGCGCTGAGAGGCAAGGTGCTAGCACGTGCGGTCGTGTAGGGAGCAGGGCGCTGCTGAGGGCAGCGCCATAGCCCAGCCTCCATAGCTGGATGGGCTTGGACTACAGTGAGGCGCAGGGGTGGTCTTCGGGTGTACAGAGGGAAGACATGGGAGTAAGTCAGGGGAGAGAGAGAAGGATGATGATGATGATGATGATGATGTGAGGGCACATACCTGGTATTGGCGATGGTCTGCATTGGGCGACATCTTCAAGTACTTCGTAGGCTGCTGACGTCAACAGTTGCATTGTCAATTAGTAGACAGATGGTAGCTGTGTAGGAAGTAGGTTGGGCGCCGAGCGCCAAGTAGGGAGATAGGGCCTGGACACTCATGTTGGTGGTGGCGAGAGCAAGCTCTCATTGACATTGGTTTCAGTGTTGCGAGTTCTTTGTTGGTGTTGTATTGGTGCATCTCTGCTTTCTGGACACTGTGATACTATCTGGCCGTCAATGTGATTGTGCATTCTGGACATTGTCATCTCGCTATTGCTCATTTTCCTTGCATAGCTATATTTGGGCCAATTTTCAGCCTAGATACGGCTATAAGGACCGGGTGTTCTATCCGTGTGAAGATGGTAGTATCATCAGGGGACTAACAAACGAACATTCAACCTAGTAGGGAGATTCTGGCATTCTACTCTTTCTTTTCCTTCCTCCCTCCCCTCCCCCCCCTCCTCCTTCTGGCGTCCTAGTTTTCTGGCAATAATTGAATAATGACAACCTGCATTTCAAAAGCGAAGGCACAGTCACTCGCCTGGTGCTTTCCCAAAAAATGGCAGCGAGGTTTCCCATCTGATTTACAGAAGGAGATCAAACTACTGGGAAAAAAAAAAAAAAAAACGGATAAAGCAATGCCATATGGGGATCTCGCATCAATTTTGCTAAAGCAGATCAAATAAAAGTGGAAACAAATAATCGTCAACTCACGTGGTGCTTTCCTTTTCCTTTATCTTTTTCCCATCTGGGTCACCCTTTCTATTAATCTTATGCAGGTGAAACCATGAAACGCTTGGGAAATCAAAAGCCTTACAAAAAACTTATCATCATGCTTCAATTGATGACACAGAATTTTTCTAAAGTTGACTGAAGTTTCACCAAGTTTTTTCTAAAGTTCATGTACAGATTTACGGGAAACAATTTCCCCGGAGCTTTGAGTTCTACACGTCTTTGCTCTTCAACGCCTGAGGCACCTTTTTCCATCAATAGGTACTGAGTCTACTGACAGAAGTTTGACTGAGGTTTTGCTACAGTTGACAGAAGTCGGACTGAGATCTTTCTGCTGGCTGCACGTTTGACGCACACGGAGGCAGGGGGGGGAGGGGTTGGTGAGCGACTGGGTTCCTACGTGGATATTTTCCCGGCGTAGAACGCCATCGTCCCGCCGTGGATGTCAGGGAGAGGAGTGGGATGGTGGCACTGGCCGCCTTGGGGGGGGGGGGGGGCGGCCCATACCTCATCAGCCTGGACAACCTTAATTTAAAAAAAAGAAGTTTGACTGAGATGTTTATGAAAGTTATGACAAGAAAACTTTGAATGAGATTTTTTCCCAAAGTCGACAGAAGTTCGACTGAGATTATTCAGGTTATCATTTGTGAGTCTTGTGACGTGTCACTGATGCATCCTTCAACAAAGGGTGAAAGCTTGAATTTTTCGCCTGACAAAAAATTGATATAGATTTTTCGTGTCATTTGTTTGTGGTCTGTCATTCTCTCATATGCACTTGGCTGGAAGTTGGCGAGAGGCTCCTGGCTGTGCATGCTTGACAGTGACGATCTCCTTGGGTCAACGTACCTTGAAAGGGCAGCTGACATTGTGAAAGACGACAAAGATGTCATGATCATTCCGGTATGCTTCCGCCACCTCTTTGTGGAATACACTGGAGAATATTTCATGCATTTGCTCAACCATGACCTTGTATGGCTCGTTGTGTTGTGTTG